GAGCTAGAGAGCATTCCATTCAAATTGGCTTCAGAAAAATTCACCTATCTAGGAAAAGAGATCACAAACAAATTTGACTCGCTATTTGACGCAAACTTTTTGGCCATTCTAGAGTCATTTAAGACAAAAATAGAGTTTGGGAAAACACTACCAATCTCCTTACTAGGTAGGATCAACGCAGTGAAGATGATCTTTCTCCCTCAGCTGTTATACCTTTTTCAGAACTTACCTTTATATATCACTAAAGCGTTTTTCACAAAACTAGATTAGATAATTCTCCCCTTTATTTGGAACTATAAATCCCATAGGATTAAGAAAGGTCACTTGTGCAAGAATAAGACAAAAGGGGGGCTAGCTCTGCCAGACTTTATGCGCTATTACTGGGTGGCAAATATTCGTTGTGTCTCCTACTGGTTAGACAAGACAGTTGTACTCGCAGACTGGCTTGACTTGGAACGAGAAGACTGCCTACCCTCCTCTCTTGGTGCCATAGTTATGTGTCCCGTGCATCTTAAAAAGTCATACTATAATAATAACCCGATTATTCATAATACCATTCAGATTTGGAGACAAATGACAAAACAACTTAAATTTAGGGCCCTGTCCTTCAATGTTCCCCTATCATCAAACCCATCGTTTACCCCTTCAATTATGGATGGAACCTTTGACAGATGGAGAGAGTTAGGAGTGGGTAGCGTCGGTGATTCATACATCCGTGGTACATTTGCATCACTCCAGCAGCTTCAGGTAAAGTATGGGCGGGCTAGGGCGGATTTCTTTAAATACCTCCAGATTAGGCATCATGTGAGGACCCACCTACATGACTTTGAGACTGCAGCTTGACCACTGTCTGATAGACTGTTTAGCAGAGAGACACACAGTGTCATTTATATATGACGTACTACAAGACTATGGACAAGTTGATACAAAATGTATAAAAAAAGACTGGGAAAAAGAGTTTGGTGAGGAAATAGCAGAGGACACCTGGGACAAGGCCTGGAAACATGTGAGTATATGTTCCCTTAACGCCAGGCAATGTCTCATACAGTTCAAAATGTTACATAGGTTGCACTACTCTAAAGTAAAACTCCATAGAATCTTTCCCGAATTGTCACCAACCTGTGAGAAATGTGAACAATCAGAGGCAGACTTACTTCTTAGCTATGTGCTATGCCCTAAACTACAGAACATTTGGGTCGCAATATTTTCGTTCTTCTCAAAGGCATTTAAAGTCCAACTACAACCAGATCCAGTGTTAGTGATACTGGGCACATCTGATCAATGTAACACACTTCAAAATGCACAACTTCATCTCCTGTCCAATGGCCTCCTCTGTGCAAATAAACTTATTCTCCTGTTATGGAAATCAAAGGATGTGCCCAGTTTTAAAGCTTGGATTACGGCATTGACTGATACTCTGCATTTAGAAAGAATTCGATATATCCTAAAAGATAGACTGGGGGATTTCGGAAGGATGTGGGGTCCAATGGTTTCATTTATAAGAGGGACGGTAGGCTGAAGTGCACTGCACAAACAATCGTTTTTAATGGCTTGGTGGCACTGCTCGGGGAGGGAGGGATGGGTAATCTGGGCTCATCTGCCCCACTCTGTTTTTTGTTTTTCACAATTTAATTTAATTTTGTTATTAGATATACAGTATACTTTTGTATGTTCTTTCCCACTATGAATGGGTATGGCATTAATCATGCTTTTCCTGTCATGCTATGTTTTTTCTTCCGTATTATTTCTTGCTGGCTGTTATGTTTGTCTTCTATGTTGGAAAAAGGGAAGCATGATTTCCACCCCAAAGAATATATACTACTGCTTACACTTGTATGCTTCTTCTCAATAAAAATATTTGAATATTAAAAACCAAATTTGGCTGCATAAATACTGTATTTAATACCCCACCAATTGTGTTATTTAAACAGAAACTGACCTGACTGAACTGAACATTTAAAAAACTTGAATGCTGTCTTTGTCTCCCTTGTTAAGCACTAAATGTGCCCCTCTCATAAAATAACTGGCCGCAGCAGGGCTCCCCCAGTCAAATTGGTCTAGAACCGCGATTGTGTATATCCCATTAACTCTTGCCTTTCGGGTCAAATCTGACCGAGTGACTTTGTTTTTAATCATAAATCATCATTGTGTTTTTCATCCAATTGCCTCCAGACCTTATGTTATCATCCACACTAGGCCTCTGAACAGCCTCTGAACATATACACTTGATGATCACCACTTGCTTTGAATTTTGAGTGATTTATTCAACAGTGTCACACCCATGATGTTTTCGGTCAGAATTGACTGCCATAGGAAATGAATGGGTATGAGTATATTATGTGCATGGAACACACACACACACACACACACACACACACACACACACACACACACACACACACACACACACACACACACACACACACACACACACACACACACACACACACACACACACACACACACACACACACACAATTTATTGTGCTTATGTCCCCCCACACCTTCCAGACAAAACAATTTACTCTAAGTTACGGGAACCTCTCACTTTCCCACGCTGTATGATACAATGTATCATACCTTCTCACAGGTGCAAGCTCTGTGCCCCTCAAAGAAAAACCTCTCACTTTCTCACGCTTAATTCCCCTCCATTACTGTCCCTCCTGCAGTTATATTTGTGCCCTACTCACATTCGACTCATTGACACAATGAGCAGGCGACCGATTAGGCAATTTTCTGTCAGAGGCTCGGGATAAATGTTTTGAACCAGATGAAGAGGAGATTTAACCAGACATAGAGGACGATCCAGACTATGAGCCCGACCAACAGTCAACAGACCAGGAAGAGGCCCCTGAGGGAAAGGCCCCTTAGGGAGAGGCCTAATAAATGTTCATTGAGGAAAACATTATCATAAGTGTCTTATTATATATTCATCACAGTGAATGCAGTGAATGCTGAACTTGATGGGCCCACCGGTGGGTCCGGACCATATACTGCAGTTGAAAGTACACAATGAAACACTGACTTGCTTGTATCAAAACAATGCATCCCATACATCATTGGAACAGGAATAATCTCAGCTACAACACTAACTAAAGCATTTTCATCTCCAGTAAACACAGCCTACATGGCAAGCATTTTTATAATATACAGTAAGCACAGGCAGAAGGACACCAGGGGTGAATTTCATGTTATAATTTTGCTGTAAGTTCAAAGATAGTGCTTACTAGCTGGGAAAAAAAGTGGGAATTACATACTTTACCAGCATGCAGTTGTTGATTTTCCAGACAAAAGAATGGCGACTCGAATGAAAAACACTTTCACTCGGTTAATCAATCAGGATCTTCTTCAAACATTTAATAAAAACCATCACATTATACAAAACAACAGTCTTCCTCTATTTGAGTGAAAAAACAGAGCCACCTGATTGCTGTCCTCTAAGACCTACTATTCTGGCACCTGCTGGCCGTGGCCAATTAGGGGGGGTTTTTGGAATTAGTTCCACCGTGTCCCAGGTGGCATCATTTGCACCTCATTTGGAGCTTAATGAGACTGAATTTAGTTTTGACAGAATATGAGTTAAATACCCTCTTAAGAGGCAAAAACTAAGGAAAACATATTGTAAGTGAATGCTAAGCAAGTAATCATTCACTTATTTGGATTTGACTAGAGGCTCAGTCATTTAAAGGGGAAGTGCACACCTTCTTCTTAAAGGGCCAGGCAGGTCAGAGGAAATCTACAGAAATCTGTATTAAGAATTGTTCAAACATCTCACGGTCATGGCTCATATACATGTTGATTAGATGATTGAGAGGAATGTAAAACCCTCTTTAATACCTGGATCAGATAACATGAAATCAGCTGACCCCTGAACGAGAAGAGGAGTCATCTGCGTTCATTTGTCCCATGTCGTGTATCAGAGTAGAGATCCAGCCATGCCACCTTCTATAACGTGTTTCCATTTGTAAACATGGTGAGGCAAAAGAGGACGGAGGTGAAATATAAAGATGTTGATGCTGCAGGTTGAATTGTTTAACAAAGGAAATATCTGTCATTAGATCTTTCTTTTTAGGCTTTTCAAAAACCACTCTGATGTCATATTTTTGTAGGCCAACGCTGAAGTTAGCATAGCAACGGCTAACATGCAAAGCAAACACAAGATTATGGCTACTCGTCAACACCGCTAAGCTCAAGGTGGCTAATGTTGGACGTGATGACGTTTAGCAGTCTCATATTCTCATGTTTGCATACTCCGTTTTGTATGTCTCATAGAAGCTTCAAGGAGGGTCAGGCCGATTGTCGAACCTCAGATTGAGGAGGAATAATGCGGATTCCGTCCTGGTCGTGGAACGACGGATCAGTTTTTTACTCTCGCAAGGATCCTGGAGGGGGCCTGGGAGTATGCTTATCCGGTCTACATGTGTTTTGTAGAGTTGGAGAAGGCGAATGACCGAGTTCCCAGGAGTTACTGTGGGAGGTGCTGCAGGAGTATGGGGTGAGGGGGTCTCTACTCAGGGCCATCCAATCTCTGTACTCCCAAAGTGAGAGCTGTGTCCGGGTCCTCGGCATTAAGTCGGACCCATTTCCGGTGAGGGTTGGCCTCCGCCAGGGCTGCGCTTTGTCACGATCCTGTTTGTGATATTCATGGGCAGGATTTCAAGGCGTAGAGGAGGGGGTCTGCAGTTCGGTGGGCTAAGGATTGCACCACTGCTTTTTGCAGATGATGTGGTTCTAATGACTTCATCGGTCTGCGACCTTCAGCCCTGACTGGATCGGTTCGCAGCCGAGTGTGAAGCGGCTGGGATGAGGATCAGCACCTCCAAATCTGAGGCCATGGCTCTCAGCAGGAAACCGATGGACTCTCCACTCCAAGTAGGGAATGAGTCCTTACCCCAAGTGAAGGAGTTCAAGTATCTCGGGGTCTTGTTCTTGAGTGAGGGAACAATGGACCGTGAGATGGGCCGGAGAATCTGGGCAGCGGGAGCGGTACTACAGACGCTTTACGCTGTGACGAAAGAGAGCTGAGCCAGAAGGAAAGCTCTCTGTCTACCAGGCCATTTTTCGTTCCTACCCTCACCTATGGTCATGAAGGATGGGTTATGACCAAGAGAACAAGATCCCAAGCGGATACAAGATACAAGCGGCCGAAATGGGATTCCTCCGCAGGGTAGCATCTCCCTTAGGGATAGCGTGAGAAGTTCAGTCATCCGGGAGGTACTCGGAGTAGAACCGCTGCTCCTTTGCATTGAAAGGAGCCAGTTGAGGTGGTTCGGGCACCTAGTAAGGATGCTACCTGGGCGCCTCCATAGGGAGGTTTTCCAGACACGTCCAGCAACCTAGGACCAGGTGGAGGGATTATATTTTGTCGCTGGCCTGGGAGCGCCTTGGAATCGCCCAGTCAGAGCTGGTTGATGTGGCCAGGGAAAGGAACATTTGGGGCTCTCTGATGGAACTGCTACCTCCGCGACCGGACCACAGAAGGACCACTTACTTTTTTAAGTCTTTTAAAAGTAAGTGTTTTTTTTATAAATGTTTACATCGACTGGCCATTCATCCACAAAAAACACACTGGACTAGGTCAGAAAACAGAGGATACTGTGAAGTCCACCGTAGACCATGGGTTCCCAACCCCCGGGGTGTTACTGCCGGGCCGCGAAATAGGTATGAGTTTATCGTAATATTTGCAGAATCATGAATATATAAAAATATTTTATTAAAAAAAAAATAGTCATACTATTTCATCCAAAACATACAAAATAAATCAAAATTGGTAAGCATAAGGTCTCAGCCTCTCGTGCGCAGAGAAAGTTACCGGTGCGCCAATAGGAAGTGGAGCACAGGAGACAACCGTTTCATCGCAGACTGTTATGTTTATGTGGGGAAATGGCAGTGCATTCATTATTTGAGATATATTTCGAACTCGGACTTCATTTTAAGGACATTGCGGCCAGGGGTGTAGAGCTATTTGTTAGCACTGTAATTTCAGACTCCAGCTTACAGTCTTCCTGCCTACGACCTGCCTAAAACCAGTATAGAGGAATGTTAAGCCCTCCCACTATTTTCCAAGAGGGCGTTGCCAGATTTTCAATTTCAGGTTTTAACCAGGAGATGGCGCTTCATTCACAAATACANTGCCTTGGCAGTCTCAGTAATCGGGCCATTCGATGTGTGTGAGTGTAGAGGTGTGTGTGGTTGAAACGTAGCAGCCTGCAGTGGGGAACACAGTGAAGGCGGTGTGTANTGAGCAGAGCACATACAAACACACATCATTCGCCTTTGTGACCGGACATTTCCTTCATACAACAAGTAATAGGGGGAATAATCGGGCCATTCGATGTGTCACACATCGAATGGCCCGATTATTCCCCCTATTACTTGTTGTATGAAGGAAATGTCCGGTCACAAAGGCGAATGATGTGTGTTTGTATGTGCTCTGCTCAGCTCCGCTGTGTGTGTGTGGGTGTATGTTCGGTGTGTCCAACAACGGCATTTGTTTTCAAATTACCATGAACAGTAATTTACACACATCTTGCCAACTCCATAGGTGATTATGGCTGGCAAACAAGCCCAGGGGTCTCACTGACATTTCAGTTATATCAATATGTGTGTGGTCCTGATTTGTTTTAATTGTATCCTGGTTTTAAACTTTGTTAATATGTTTTGGATGCATATTGGTATTTCTTCAGGCTGTTAAATACAATTAGCCTCTGTTGTCACCTGGTGAGTAAATATTCAAATCAGCTAAAATTGACAACCGGTCCGCGATTCTTTTTTAATGTATCTGCCGGTCCTTGGCACAATAGAGGTTGGGAACCCCTGCCATAGACGGACAACTTTTGGACAAAATCTCATCTCCATTAAAGGCAGCTCATTCTGGAATAGCCTCCCAACTGAGATACGAGATTGTCCTACTCTCAATAGTTTTAAAGGACAACTTAAAGAATGGTTGAGCAACAAACAGACGTGTAATCACGGCTAAATGCACTTTAATACAGGGGTATCTCCTCTTGCACTTTATGTAGCTCTTTTATCTTCTCTTGCACTTTATGCTTGTATGCTGCTCATGCTCTTTCTGCAAATCATGTATTTATTTTTGCTATGTATATAAATGTCATATTCTTATATGTTCTATGTGACGGGACTATGGATGGAAATTAGCTCAGAGCTATAATCCGGCTCATTTACACTTGTAAGCATTATTTTTGTTTTAAAGTGTTCATCAATGTGCACTGTCCCGGTTCAAATAAACGATTACAATAAATAAATTAAAATAAAAGATAAGTGGGAGAAGATGGATGGACATCTTGAACATTGTAAACAACAGGAAAGTGCTGACAGAGCTGCAGTGTTAACCTTGTGGGGAACTTGAGTACAGTAAAAAGTACAGAGAAACTACAATTAAACATAAAGGGATTGTGACTTCATTTTCCGTTCAGGATGCCATTACTATACTACAACAACAACAATCTTAATATAGAAAATAGATGTTTGCTGCTGTCTTAATGCTCCAAATATATAACCTTTAAGTCAGCTTAGTGAGACAAAATTAAAAAGATTTGCGCACCCGTTATAGAAACTTCATTTATGACCATTCACAGTAATTCTGTACCTACATAAGGCCTTTGCACTAATATCAGTCCGATGTTTACCTGTGTTCCAGGTGTTGTTGCAGCTGGCCCAGGGGAGAACGGTGTGGAAGGAGACGAAGAGGTAGAGGAAGGCCCAAGCCAGGATGACAATGTAATACACCACACTGTATAACAATGTAACTTGACTGCCGTAGCCTAAACCTTTGACAAAAATAGAACTGCATTTTAACATTTGATACACAACAGTAATGTAACAATATATACATATTTGAAATACTTTGGCACTCTATGGAATCTGAAGTTATGTACCTTCAAATATGGGACATATTTTCCTCCAACATGTGATCCCACCCTGACCAGTTAACTGCCCCAGAGATATTTCCAGAAAAAAGATGGGAATTCCACACGTGAACAGGAACACTACATAGGGGATCAGGAAAGCTCCTAAAAGAAAATAATGTATCCAAGTAATAAACTATAGTGACAAAAATACAAAGAATAAATTATGTAACCCTTTCACGCATAGAGGTCACTACCAGTGGACAACTATTCAAAAGGTGTTTTTTTGTATATGCATGGGTTTTGATGGCATAGTTGAACACCAGCCACTACATAGGACCCAATTGCATCATCCCATACACTGCCACTCAGTGCCAAGTCAGTAAGTGCATGATACATTTCTCTAAACCAAGATGGACGACAGAAAGCCAGATGGACTGAATCACTCGTCGTTATCTTGCCAATCCTTTTATGGACCCTGCAGGTATAAAAATGTTGGTGACATCAAGTAAAAACTAAGGAATCATATCCTTCATAAGTTGTTCAAGTATTGATTTTATGTTTGCAGGAAATTATGATTGATCACCTGTCCACTAAAGTGTACGTCATGCATTACTGGCTATATTTCAACTACAATTCATACTGTTACTGCTATTGTTCTTGAAAATGTCATCTGCAATATCTTTGTGGGCCGTAAATCAATATACTTATGTTATTATAATGTAATTTTAAGTTTGCACATCTTTATTTATAATTTTTTCAAAATGTACATGTCTTCACTTCAAACTTAAACGCATACTGTCCACCTGAGTGGACAATTTGAAAAAACTAGATAAAAAAAACTAAAGTTCAAATGTTGTTTTTCATGCCCCAAGAGCAATAAAAACACTTTTTTTTATAAATCATGCATGAAAGGGTATACATTTTCCAGCTTTTACTTATCTAACTTCCTCCTGGGCAGTACAATAAGATGTTTTAAATGCTCTTACCACCTCCATTTTTGAAGCACAGATATGGAAATCTCCAAACATTGCCCAGACCAATGATCTGTCCGGATACTGACAAAATGAACTCCCTCTTGTTGGCCCACTGGCCTCTCTTTGCACTGTAAGACGGAGCATGATTTTGATTGTTTTCATCTTTCATTCTTATTTTATTCTTTAGATTCTCTGGATAACTTGCTGGCTCCATCAGGACACATCTGTTGAAATGTAAGTAAAAAGATTCAGTTTAGCTGTTCTTTGTGTTTGTTATACTTAACCTGCCATGCGCATGTTCAAAAGTATCTTTTTGTGCAAAGTCTTCAGAACACTAAATACATCTAAAGCTCCAGATTAGATCTTAGGGTAATGCTGTTTCTTATTGTTCATCTTTAATAGCTATGGTACTGACCAATTCATTTTAAAGATTTGGTACCTTCAAGTTGATAGATGTAAAGGTATCTTTTTGAGTTTAGGTTCATATTGCTAAATATGGTGTTGGTGTCTCTGTGAAACTCCACTGATGTACATGCAAGTTCAACAGCCTGCGCTGCCTATCCCACAAATAATTAGTTTGCTTTACTCTTTGTACTCATGAATTTGAAACAGGTCTAACGTGTAATTGAAATGCTCTGTGTGTCATTGGTGTTTCTTGGAACCAAGGTAGACACTATAGGTTTAACAAGCAGCTGCTCTTTGTACTGAAAAAAAGGCCCAGAGACAGTGTTGCAGTGGAACACGGCCAAAACCAGAGGCTTCGGGTAATGAAGGTTAGAGAAGGTGAAGCCTTCCCTAAATTATTAGTCCTGTTTCTGTTGTGCACAACAATGTTCCCTAAACAGGCTACTGCTACGCTCCATTATGTTTAGCGGCTCCAAATATCAGGCTGTAGTATAAGGCTACATTTTTTATAATCAACAAATTTAGTGAGTGATGAGATAATAATAATGTATCACTGTCAGGGCACTAACTATGTCAGAAGGATCAGAGGGACGCATTTAGAAACTGTAACAGCATGTCGTGTGTCGCGTTTAGCCTAACGTTACTCACAAAATGTTGCCTTAGAAACTTGTCTTTGTCTCATGGGCTGCATCAACACTGTCAGTTAGTGCCGCAGGGTCAACGTATATTTATCAAGTTCTCTCATGTGCTGTGAGCCTAGGGTTGCATATTAGTCTGGCATTGTAGAATCTCATCCTTCTGTATCCTAGTAAGCTATTATATCATATTATTATTGCTGTTATTTGTGTCAAAATGCCTTAGCTCCAGCAAAAAACATCTAGTCCCCTGTCGCTCTAGTGCTGTCCCTTATTGGGTCAGCAGCTGCATATAATTGCTGTTATAAACATAAAAACATCTTCTGTTCCATTGTAAGATGTTGTAACAAGTATGATAGTTGGTCAAATAATAGCCTTCCCTATCTTGAACTCCACTCGCTGCCTATGGCCAAAACCCATGTCACAAAACATTCCCTCAATTGATGCAGCCTTGCAGTAACCTATTGCAGCTGTGGATTATTTATGAGTATTAGAAGAAGGCTACACATGTATTAATTTGAGTAATTTCTAGTATACATACATACATTCCCAATACATACAAATTGTACCAGTTATTGTAACGGTTAAGCTGGAGATATGTAGCAGTGAAGCTGATGTCAGAATACTCACAGAACTGAACGAATGACAGCAAATATCCACTGGATCTGTAACAGAAAGTTTTCACGTGTCTCAGCACATGTCTACTGAAACTTTTCATGCCAAGGTTAAGATTATGGTTATAAATGGTAATGTAGAGAGCAGAATTGACACCTCCTCCTGAAGCAATCATGCATTTCAAAGTCTGATTTACAATATTTACTTTATCATCTTAAGCCTTTTTTCTGAAAAGCTGGCAGTTGATACTAATGATTTCATCTGGGACACTGGCTTGAGATTATGTAATGTTTAAAATGTTTCCGAGTCCACTTGCTTGGCTGTGTGCGATTTGATACTTTAAAAACATTCAACCAATTATGTCACAGTGAGGGAAAGGATGCAGGACAAAAATATTGGATATAGGAATATAAACAAAAAGCGAGCTTTTATTCAGGCGGATGGCCGGAGAAGGTGGTTTCGGGCGGACGGCCCGGGGGAAAGGCTGAGAAGGGGGTCTCGGGCAGACAGCCCGGGGGCAAGGCAGAGGCAGAGAAGGGGGTCTAATCGTAGCGGGGAAACTCTGGGGGCTGGGCAAAAGGGCGCCCATGCCCGCTTTGGGGAAACTCAAAATACGAAGGCCGCCCGCGGCAGGCAAACTTTGGGGGCGGCTTGGAGGGTGGCGGGGCCCCTCTAGAGGACGGCCTGGAGCACAGTGGTGCCTATCTTGAGGATGGCGGGGAAACCTTCCTGGGGGATGCAGGGACAGCCTCGGGAGCAGAGAGGAAACAAGAGCCGAGCAGCCTCAAGAGCAGAGAGGGGGCAGGAGTCGACCAGGGCGCCGACTGGATTGGAGAGGAAGCGGGATCCAGCGTCTGCAGGAACCCTGACACAACAGGAGGGGCAGAAGGAGCCGGCATCTGGGGGACCCCTGATAGAACGGAACCCAGATGGTTCCTCTTCAAAAAGTACTGTTGGGTCCATTGTGGTAAGTTCGCACTGGTGAGGGTAAGGATGCAGGACCCAAATGCAGTACAACAACAGGGGAGGTGGATATAGGAATATAAACTTAAATCAAGCTTTTATTAAATTATAAGTTAGTACAAAACAAACACACAAACTGCAGGAGCAGGCGATGTTGAACAAAAGGAAAACTATAACAAACCAGGAACACTTAAAAGAAACAGGAGGGCAGATGAGGGAGATCCAGAACATGAGGCAAGAGATCAGGAACCCTGCCCAGGGACCAACGACGACAAACTCACAGAGAGCACTAGCAATTGCAAGGTCCGTCTTTGATGCACCAAATCTCATCTGAGATTTGGTATCAGCCCCATGTTCAACCATGCCCACAAACTGTAGCAGACTTGATGGAATGGCCTCCTCAATACATCCCTCATGAAAAGTCCCATCAAATGTGGATCTGTGGTTAAGCATTTGCCTTCGCAATATTTTGGCTGCCTTACCAAGGATGATTGCGTCACTGTAGTCAGAGGCTTGTGATAATTCTAAGCCGACATTGTTATTGAAAGCCAGAAGTACATCTCTATCCTGCTTGTGAGCTTCCTGCTTGTGAGCTTCCAGTTCTGGTATTTCAGCAAGCAGCTTGTCCTTTAGTCTGGTGGAATTGACCTCAGGTACCTCAACCCCTAGCTTCTGCAACCATTGCCGGGGAAGTTTGACCACTGCAAGTCGAAAGACTGCAGGACCTTCTGTGCTTGATTTTGTCTCCACTAAGTAAATTATTAGTTCAGAAAATGCTTGTTGGTATGCATTGTGTCCTGGTGTCTGTTCCCGTTCCTTTCTTTGGATTGTTCTGCTATATGTTCTCTCTCTGTTGTACAGGTCTGCTAAGCATTCAACATGGTACCTACATTCCAGTGCAATGGCATGTCCAGCACTTAGCTTTGAAATAAGTTTTCCATCACAAAGCTCATTCAACCTTTTGTTCAGAAACATTGTCATGACTTGTCTGAATTCAGATACTGGAGCTTCTTTTTCACATAGAAAGCACTTAGGGTTTGTTCACACCGGATGCGATGCGATCTTGGGGCGCATCGCGATTAAATGTATTGTAAAGTCAATGCAAATACACGGCGAGACGTGAATTGGCTCCAGGTGGCGAGCATGACGGGGCGCACGCACGACGCGGCATACGCATGACGCGGCGTACGCATGACGCGGCATATGCATGACGCGGCTGACGCATGACGCGGCTGACGCATGACGCGGCTGAAAACACACATTTTAAAAGTGTTTTGCCTGTCATCTTGTCTGCACATTTATCAAAGCATTAACTCATATATTTTACAAACCGGTATCACTATGTTGCTATTTCGGCATCATTTTGAAACGTTAAAACGTTAAAATATGTTCATCCGTGTTGTCATTGGTATCTATCAATGACTACACGGATATTAACAACATGAAGATAAGCCCAGCCCCCTTGCCAGCGCGTCTTGTTTGACGGACTTGAGTAAACACAGCTGACAGCCGCTGTGTGTACGCAGCATTAGACTCTTGACCTTCATGGCTGGTTCTTGGCAGCTTAGTTTGGCCTCCTACTGTCTCAATACTCTGTGCATCAACTCTTCTCTCTCGTATTGTCATACTGATATTCTGTACAAACTGTGAAGTCCACTGAGACAAATGTAACATTTGTGATATTGGGCTATATAAATAAACATTGATTGATTGATTCTCTTTCTCACCCTTTCAAGTTTGGTGTTATTGAACTGAAGGCGACAGCTCTGGTATTACTTGGCCTTGTTCCTTCTCAGTGTTTCCTCTATTCCACCACCCTCATCCAGTCTTGCCAGATCCAGAACAATGGGTAGGTCAATCAGGGCGTAAAACAGAGGAACATTGGTTGCAATCATTTTGTAGGCATCATATTCATGAGTATGATTTGTGTTGATTTGAGATCTTCATTTTCTTTTTTTCGGCATAAACAACATTTCTTCGTCAGTTTAACATTGAGATGAAACTGGAACTGAATTTGCGGTCTTGTCAGAGTGCCAATTAAGTCCTGTGTGATTTTTGCAAGCCTCCGGCTCTCCACCTCTCTCTATTAGAAAAGAGGCAGAAAACGTTAGCTTTATGTTGAGCTCCACAAGTCACTCCAAAACAAAAGCAAAACTCAAAACTATGCTCATTACAGCATCAGGCAACAGCATTTTCAAATATGTAAAAGTCTTCTAAGATACAATACAAATTTACCTTGAGTAAACATTGGATTTAGGACTCATATTATTCCTAGCTAAATCCATTGCCTAGTCAAAAGTACTGTGTGTGCGCCTTTTCCAAGATATTTAAATCAAATGTAACATATACCATATGCATAAACACTATTTCTCAGTCAATTAACATAACACAATAAGCACACATGTATCTAATTAGCATTTCCATTGTACTGTTTTACCTTAAAGGGGACCTATCATGCAAAATGCACTCTTTTATGTCTTTTATACATAAATATGTGTCCCCGGCAGTGTTGTGCTAGTTACTGAAAACCAGTAACTAGTTACCATTACTA